ATGTGGTGCTCTGCCATTTTGGCAGGGCAGGACTTATGGCATCCAGTATTTTAGAGCTGCCTATTCTCAGCTCTTCTCTTAATTTGATAATAACTGTTATTCTGTTTCATTTGATCAGTGATGAAGAAAAACGCGCTTTTCCTTACTCTTTGTGCTTTTCCCAGAAAGCGTTTTTAGTAGGCCTAGTAATTATGCAAAACCCAGGCCTAACTAAAAAATTAAAATTTGTCATAGTATGTAACTCAAGTTAAAATAACACTTTTCATTACTCGTGCAGCTTAATCAAATATTATATGTCATTTTAAACGACCCATTGTTATTAACATGGTAACATCAATGTATTTTTAAAAATCAGACAGCGACGTTCTCTCAGAAGTTGTTCTGTAGACGTTTATCTGTTGATGACCTTTTGACCTCCTGAAATCTGCAATGAGATTTTCGGGTCGATTCAGCCGAGACAGCCCGAGTGGAGTTTCATGTAAATGTTTCGTACGGAAAAAAAAATCGCTGGCGGGTCACTTCAAACGACATGTAAAAAATCACAACTTTCTTTGTTTCTTATATTTTTTTGAGTTTTTTTTTATTATCAAAACAACTTTTTGTATATGTGATACATAATAATATATTATAATACAGATACTAATTACCATATTTGTACATTTATACATTTCTTTTTAAAACGAAGGTCAACGGCAGCAGCGTCGTATCATATAATTTGCCTCGTGACGTCATTTCTCGATGTAAACAATTCACGACAGTGGTCAGGCAAGATCTGCCTTTAAAAACTTGATTTTCTCCGTAAATCCCAACTTTCATGCGACGCAACATCGATATATGATGTTTACATAATATATAGAACCTATGGTGAGAATTTCGTTGACTACTAAGTCTATGCAACGGTTAAGGTGATATTTTACTGGACTATAATTGCATCGTGTATTCTGCAAATGTACATGTATTACTTGTAATACATCAATGGATTTAGTGAGACAAGGACTAAAGAAAACCCCACCGATTTTTGACTTACTATGAAAAATATTTTTAAAAAATGTCTGTCAGTTAATTTAAGAATTTTGCAAAAAATTATATAAACAATATTAGTAATATGCCCCTGTTAATTGCTTAAAAAATATTTCTGTTCATTTTTTAACTAAAAATAGGCAATTCCAATGTTTGTTTTAGTATATTAACTTGTTTTAGTATATTAACACAGACAGTACAAAATAATTTTTAAAAAATGGTTATTAACCTTTCATTCTGGATTCATCTTCATAAATTCTTCATGAAATGTTTAGCTTTCTGTTTGTATCCAAATTACGGTAGGTATGGGTAACTTTGTTTTGTTTTCTCTTCTCTTGAATTTCTTGTATTTTTGTCATTTATTTTCATTTCATGATTTTATCTATTACTTACTTGTCTTGTGACTTCATTGAATGCTCCTCTCATGGATAAGGAAGCATTGGTTGATGAATTTTATTTCATTGTTTTGGCAAAAGCTTCTAATCTCCTAGTAAAATCGTGTTATAAAATGATAATATCTAAACCTTATTTGAGGAAGTAACAACACATAACAAACATTATTGAACGATGGGAAAATAGCTTAGGTATAATTATATAACGTTATAATTTAATAAAGTAATTTCTGCTTAAAAAACCCCTATTGGATAAACAGTTCATTGGGGAATGTGGCGAGGTGGACGGCAGAAAAGCAGAAATCACAAGCGATCTTAATGTATGAGAGTTCGTTTTATTGAACACTTTTTAATTCTGTGAAGATTGAACAAACATAGATAGTAGATATAATAGTACACATTAGTTGAATCTCAATAAATGCAAATAAAATATATAAATTATTAAATTAATAAATGATAACATATTTACTCAACAGTCAATAAATCAAGCATTGTGTAAAGTACAGTTAATCCGTCTGATTAATTAAAATCATGGATTGTATAACATGGTATAGTTAAATATTTAATCATTACAGTAATTACTCATGAATAATCTCTACAGTGGTAATTCTAATCCTAATCATTGTAACCAGTACATTATTATTAATCTAATCATACAAACATACAGAGCAGAGCTGTCAGCGCTTTACTTTTGACGATGCCTCTGGCCAAGAGGCGAAACATGTCAAGTCTGTAAGTAAAGATAATATTTACTTATAAAAAAATTGACACTGGATAACCAAAAGGAAAGAAAATTCACAAATACTGTATAGTTTCGCATGAAACAGAATGCCAAACGCCAAACGCCAATTGAAAACTTAGTCTGATCGCTCGACTGTTCGAGTTCGAGTTTGTAGTTTGTAAGACATCAAATCAAATCAAATATGCATTTATTTTCTATACAATACAGTAATACAGTATACAATAAAAATGCAAATTGAAACAAATACATTGTATGGAAGGAGGCTACAGTAAGTTCTAGTAGATCTTTAAGACGTAGCCACCTTTAACTTATATAATCACAGAATGATGTATTATAATAATAATTAATTATAATAATTTCAATCCAGTTTTGAACACAAGACCAGACACATTATTTCAAGACTCAAATAGAAATGAGAGGAAGAAAAGAAAAAAGATAATTAATTAATTAGCATACACCGAGACCAAAAACATCTTAAGATGATATTTAAAGCTATTCAATGTAAATTTATTTTTTAGGTCATCAGGAACATTAGCCCATAATTTCGGACCCCAAAAGAGAACTGAAAATCGCCTGATACTAGATGTGCACGGAGTACGAGAAGTATAATTGATGCTAGAAAATCTTGTATTATATTGATGATGTTCAGATGCTCTTGTTTAAAGATTACTGATGTTGGGTGGTAAAGTATTATGCGATAAACGATACATAAAAACAGCAGTTTGGATTTTATTTAAATCATACACATGTAAAACATTAAAGTGATAAAAAGGTGTTTGGTGTGAGCTATAAAAGAATCACCTGAGGAAATCCGAAGGGCTCGTTTTTGACGAAGAAAAATGCAATCGACGTTAGTCGATTCAAAGCTGGACCATTGACATAAAGTTTCAAACTTATTTAAAGTGATTCCCCCATGCAATATTGCAATAAGAAATATATGGTAGTACTAAAGTATTATATAAGGTTATATCGGGCCATAGAGCAAAGGTTCTTTGCTCTATGATCGGGCAGTGCTCATTGCTTTACTCCAAAAAATGAGTTCTGAGGAGGAAAATTTATACAAAAAAAATCTATACCGGTAATTCATGTAATAGTGTAGCTGAGCCTGCATTTATAGTGCAGTGCCTTATGGCCACATACATATTTAGTACCAATAACATGACAGGTTATCCTGCCAAATGTAATAATTCAGCATGAGTCAGAATTAAAATGTCCCCAAGATAATTTAACCTTGGAAACCCTTCATAGTTAATTATATTTGGCTGCCTTGGAGGGCAGATGGCGTAAAGAAGTAAAAACTTATGAATTACAACCCAAGTCCCACTTGGCTGGAGTTAAATTTAATTAGGTGTCCAAGTGTCAACTGACCATTATATCACAGAAGCATACTAAACGAAGTCTCACATTATTATCATACAAACTCTAACCACATCCCTTCCACTCCCTCACTTAAGTTCTTCTCAGTATCTTCTTATTTACATACTGATCCAAGCCACTCTTCTTCCTGTCACTACAATTTACATGCAAATATAAATAATGAATAACAATTTCCAAAAACAGGGTCTATCACTAAAATCTGAATCAATAAAATGAAAATTCATGGAATAGATCTGACAAATTCATGGGATAAATTCCATGCTACGTCATAATGGGCATTCAACATTTTTTTTTGTTAAAAAAAATGGTATTCTGGCTAAGGCTTAATGAGAGACAGATTGAAAAACAATTCAATTTTTACTGGTTTACAGACGTATTATTTTTTTTATAATTGAAAAACTAATAAGTTACTGGAAATATAGTCAATTCCAATGCTTATTAGCTGAAAATAAACAGTATACGATGTGTTTAAAATTATTAACCTATTCATAAATTTTCTTCATAAATACGTCCTGAAACTTTTAGGTTTAGGTTGTTTCTTGATGAAATAAGGGTACATTTGTTTTGTTTTATTTTCTGTGCATTTTTTGCAACCTAATAAAATGCAATTCACTACAAAGCTCAGTGTATTTTATATTTGTTAGGGCTATTCTTTTGATGATTTGATGCAATATTTGTCTGGTTTTCGCCTCTCAAGAAATATAAGAGTGATTAATCTTCTAGTAAATTGTTGTTTGTATAAATTAGTAACATGACAAGAAAATATCTAAGCTTTATTTGAGGAAGTAACATAACACATAACAAGCACTTTTTGAAAAGAGCATACTTTTTGTGTACACTACTATTATTCGTCCCGTAACTTCAGAATAACGAGTATAAATCAACGACAAACAACTGATTAACTGAATTCATACAATAATAGCAACCATGGCCTGTGCAACACAATATCATATGTTATGTTCTTTGATAATTATTATTATGTTGTGTAAACAGAACAACAAGAACATGCTTGAGTCCATTGAATGATTTGTTACTGAACTATTTATTGACTTCCCTGCTCCAGAGGCGCTATGTATGTTAACTTACAATATTGTGTGGTTTGAACATCACATCATACACCGATTCGTCAGCCTCAACAATGTGATTTGCCCATATACGGGTACGATGACGTCATATTAGATTTTTATATTCTGTCACATTTTATGTAAAGCTTTTTTGATGTAGACAAAGCTTTACGATCAAAGCGTTTATAAACTGGTACTTATATTCATCATTTATCCACATTCTAATGAAGACTAATCATGCATAACGATTGGTATACAAGCTCCATCACACTACGTTTGCCGTTTAAATCAATAAGGAAATGCCTACAGAAGTGAAGCTATTTTGGCAAATGACAACACCAATTGAAAATAGACAGAGACATATCAACAACACTGAAATTGATCTGGAGTATATTAATACTTAGTATGGAGCTGGTAAGATTCATTGTTGTTCTATACATGTTCATCAATACTTATGCACATCCAATGTGGTACCAGCATAATCTATTTTTAGTAAATACAACATCATCACCAGAGATTCTTCGATGCCCACCGAAATGTTCATGCTCCTATTGCCTTGTATCCTATAACGGAACAGATGTTAGATACCGGCATCAGGTGGACTGCTCAAGACGCAAGTTGACACAAATTCCTGATTCCAATCAGCTACCAACTGATGCTGAGATTTATTTCCTGCAAAACAACAGTATCATTGAATTACCTAATAACTCTTTTCGGACAACCCCAAATCTGACAATTCTTGATCTCTCTTACAATCTTCTGAAATCTGAGAGTATCGACAGATATGCTTTCAAAGGTTTAGATAAGTTACAGCAATTAAAATTGGATGGAAATCAATTTACAGTTCTTAAAGGTAGATGGTGCCAGTTCTTGCCATCTGTAGAAATCCTCAGCTTCCAAAAATGTTTGATAGAAAGTGTTTCTAGAGATGTACTTGATGGATGTAAAAATTTGAAACAAATTGATTTTTTTGATAACGATCTCAATAAAATACCCGATTGTCACCAGAATCGCAAACTTAAAAGTATTAACTTGAAGCAAAATAGGGTTAACTATTTCTTGGTCAAGAATTTACCAACAACTATTGAGAACATTGATCTATCAATGAATTGGTTACATGATCTGAAACACGTATCATTAGAAAACTTTGCACAACATCTAAAATACTTCAATTTAGCCAATAATAATTTTGGAAATTCGAGGTTTATAATCGAACATCTATTTAATGGATCTAATGTAATAGAGGTGTTAATGTTAGACAACAACAATCTTTATGCCATTTATAAAACATGGCTTATTTACTTCGTGATGTTAACATATTTTTCAATTTCAAATTCATCGATCAGCATAATCCATGAACAGAGTTTTGTCAATTGCATTAACCTGAGATTCATTGACTTATCTGGTAATAAGATCACAAGTTTGGCTCCAAAACTGTTTCAAGGACTTGAAAACCTGAATTCTGTCTATCTACAAGGAAACATAATCACAAGACTTCCAGAACAGGCTTTTTATGGATCTGGGTTATTAGAAAACATAATCATGGCTGACAACAACCTAACTACAATTAATGAAAATGTAGGCTTGCAAAAATTGAAGAATTTGAAGCAGTTAGACATTCAATCAAATCCTTGGTTGTGTAATTGTGATTTGGTTTGGTTTCGGCACTGGGTGAATAATACAAGTGTTACCATATCGAATTTAGATGCACTTAAATGCAGAGCAAGCTCTAACATCACCATCCATCTATTGAAGTTTGATGCAGACTCACTACATTGCTTGTCTCCTATTATCAGTATTGCCATTCCATCCTGTATAGTCCTACTCATTACAATTACTAGTGTAGTAATCTGGTACATTTTCCGTTGGGATTTCAGGTAGATATGATTTCCATTCTGTATGTAGTAAATCACAGTGGTGCAAAAAATGAAGGGAGGTGGTGGAGTGTAGAAAGTGGTGGATTTTTTTTGTTCACATGGTCAGTTAATCTTGACAAACTTCCGCATTATATTGCATCGTGTATTCTGGCAAATGTACTTGTATTACTTGTAATACATTAGTGGTATTAGTAGGCAAAGACTAAAAAAACCCACTAATTTTCAGACTTCTTACTATAACCTTATGCAAAAATATAGTAATTGTACATGTTAACATTTTTATTATTATTGTTATTCATTGTTTAAATACAAATTAGGCAATATATACACAGACACTACAAGATATCACCCTGTAGTCGATCATCTTCATAAATACTTCCTGAAATGTTTAGCTTTCTGTTGTATCTAGATTACGGTAGATATGGGTAACATGGTTTTGTTTTTGTTTCATTGTTCCTGTTATAAAATGATAATATCTAAACCTTATTTGAGGAAATAACAACACATAACAAAAATGTGACCCAAGATCACAAAAGGGCTGTAAACTGGTACTCTATCAAAATGTTTTTTTAATGTAAATGAATAGAGCACATCATTAACTTAATGACCTTAAATGACCTTAATCGGAAAAGTATGTGTAAAGTTAAGCTATTTTGAATTATAATTATTCTCTATAAACTAACCTATAAAGTTCTGAGCAAAAGAGCTTTAAAAGTACTGAAGAAATTGAAGAAAAATCACAGCAGCGGTCAAAATAAAATGAAAATATTCTCAATACTATTACTGTATACCCAGTGGTCCCGACTGGGAAGAGTGGAAGAATTAGAATGGCCAATTTTGACGGGAGAAAGTTGCCGGGGTCAGGGAATCAAGAACCCTACAATCCTAC